TCCTTCAGCAGGTGCGCTCGTGCACTGGACAACTGCAAAACTTTGCGTAAAGACACTTTAGTCTCATGTGCTTCCGTCGTTAAAAACACTCTTCGTTTCAATTAATTTCACACGTCCGATTTACCGAGGCCGCGAGGATTTTCAACGAGACCGGATTGATGTTTACCGACATGGTGTCCAAGTTGACGTCGCTTCAGCAGGAGCTCCTGAGCGCCTTGTTGGACTCGGGGGTCACGAAGGATGTGCTGGTTCAGGCGCTGGAGGATTTATGTCCGTGTTCCGCCGAATTCGGAATAAAAATGGAAAAACCCTTGTCCCCGGCGAGTGTCAACGGCGGCAGCGACTCCAATGATTCGAAGCCGGTGTTTCTGACTCTGACCAGCGCGCAGGGGAAAGGCGGTAAACTGTCCGGGGACGAAGGCTCTGATGACGGGGATGACTTCGACACGCCGCCGATCCTGCGCGAGCTGCAGTCTCTCAACACGGAGGAGGCGGCGGAGCAGCGCGCGCAGGTGGAGCGCATGTTATCGTGAGTTATTCACACACGGATACTTGACTTTTCTGTTCATTAATTAAATGTCGCCTACCTTATTAAACAATGATGTTATATTAGGCTACAATGTAGGCCTACATGCTTTTTTTATTCCAGTCGCAATAAGAGTGCGCAATAATGAACAGCTCAATAAAATAACCTGTCGACTAGTTCTTCTAAATTATCTGTAGAAACTTGTCTAATTTTATCCTATATAATTTTTTATTATTATATTTTTTTTTCTTTTTGCTTGCCCAATTTTTTTTTTAAATAAAATGATCTGACACAAATACCAAATCAGCCTATTGTGATGAAGCATTTTTTCCCCCCTTATTTCAGTGTTTTAATATTGTTTTAATAAACCTATTCTATTTAATTATGCAACTTTAGAAACAAAAACTTGAATACATTTTAAATTTCGGCGAAAATAAAATATATCGAAATGTTATCGAAATGTGCAAAAGTGGCCTATAAAGAGGACAAGATATGAATATTGACGTAAAGTCAAAAACGAAACCACGTGTAGTTGTTATTAATTTATTTCTATAAATCATCAACAGAAAGATACACAATGTCGTATGAATAGAGGGAAAAGATATCTAGTTATTCATTGTCCAAAGTTATAGTCTTAAATCAACATCCTCGAGCACACTCAAATGTGAGGGGTTATTTCCCCAAACAAACATTAGCGGATCCGTCAGACATCTTCATTTTTTTTAAACTTATTAAACCGATCACAAGCGGGTTTTCTTTTTTCACAAGAGGCTTAAAATTAACAGATTCATTAAGGCATTTTGGTCGGCTCGCCTACGTCAAATTAGCGGCATTTAAAATGATATAGCCAAGGCTACAACCAATGCCATGCAAATATGGGGCCTATTATTATTATTTATTATTTTATTGTATGACACAGTTCGTCTATTTAAAATTAATATTATACAGTTATTAATACTAAACAATCAACTCAGTATAGGCCTATAGGAGGGAAAATATTTTTTTGGCCTAATTAGCTAAAATTAACCTTTGAGACTAATAGCTCATTAGACAACATTAATTGTTTTTTATTATGAGTTAATATTTTTGCGTGCGTTTTTGTTTCCTTATATTAAATGTTAGCGTATGTCATGTCAATTTTAGACGTTTTATCCTTTTCATATTTGCGCTTTTCAAAACAAAAAGCATAGGCTACATTTACACAACCCAACATAACACTTCGACGAGTTGCTTGTGAATCTGCTGATGGTACTGTGTGTGGTTGTCAGTGAGGACCCGTGGCGCGTGGCTCGCACTGTGAAAGGCTACATGCAGCAGCACAACATCCCTCAGCGCGAGGTGGTGGACGTGACGGGCCTCAACCAGTCGCACCTGTCCCAGCACCTCAACAAAGGCACGCCGATGAAGACGGCCAAGCGAGCCGCGCTTTACACCTGGTATGTCCAGAAACAGCGCGAAATCGACAGACGTAAGTCAACATCTCAGTACAACGTTCATATGTACAATCGAGCTTATGTAGACTGTTTTGTCCCATTTGCGAGCTTAAAAGTACATTTACATTATTTAACAAAAATTCATACAAGTCACAGCTTTATTTAGCCTATTTCATAAGCTCTCGTTTATGTATTTATTTTTGCCTCTGGTAATGATGTTTTGTTATATAGGCTACTGTACAACAGTGAATCGTTATTTTACATTTGTTAACAAATTATATTAGGCTACATACTTGTAAAACATGTGTTTTATATATTGCAAAATTTATTACAGTATGGAGAATTGTAAAAAATATTGTTGGTTTAACTAAAAAAAAATAAGTAACCTGGTTGCCTTAATTTTAAGTTCATCGAAATGGAAAAATTGAGTTAATGCAACGAAGGAGATTAATTTAATCACCAGAAACTCAAAATGTTATGTTATTTGAACTACTTAAGTTGATTTGACAAAAGAAAAAATGTAGTGATTACAAATCATGAAAATATTTACAATAATATTTTACAGTTGACTCTCTCAGTTTTTGTAAATTCACTTGGGGTTCAGTGTATTTCTTTTTCCCCCTCAATTAATTTCACACGTGTCTAGTACAATTATGTGGTTTTGTTTTATTAATACAAATACAGTGTATACTTTTTTCTTGATTTACCCCGAAATAATGGAAGTGAATGTGACAACATGCCCCATAGGTGGGGTCCATTGTAACATGACCATATGACAGCTTCAGTGTTATCTGATCTCATCAAAAAAAAAAAATATACAAGACAAACTAAAATATTTTGTCAATGAAATACAATTCTTAACTTTTTAATGTAAAATAATGGCATATTTTGTGTCATTTTGTGTCACAGCACAAAACACAGTTATACAGCATAGATCTTAACATTTACTCTGTCTTTATTCACCTTTTTCTCATGGTTTCTCAATAGAATTCATAAAAGTAAGGAATAGAATAGCATAGTTCTAATAGGAGCACATTGTAACGCAGTTACAACATCTGCGCAACTGGGATTCAAACCCGGCTAGTGCTGGTTAGCGAAGCATTAAACAACTCTCAATTGTTAAATATCAGATATAAGATTAAAATAATATCTGATTTGTCTAATTTTAAATTTTAATTTTAAATCTAATTTTAAATCTAATTTTTAATCTTCCAAAGATTTTTTTAATTTTGTCAAAATAAATTCTCTATATAGTGTTGATATGGCAACTATAAAATACAGTAAATTTTGTCATGCTGGCGTGTGTGGAAAGTTTGTGCCCCGCTCACTGTGTCTATTATAAATGACCTCCAGCACATTTCATTTAATCTATATGAAAAGCCTCTTTTGGGAATGTTTTTATCTTGTCAGTTGTTTTGCAAACTTTGGTCAGATTATTTAGAAGATAATTTATTCATATTTGTAGACAGCATAATACATGTTCTTTACTTGCTGTGAATAGCCTACATTTATGAAGGGTATTAATTTTTCAAGGTCAACATGTTAATTTTCATACAAATTGGTGCTAATTAGGCTACTTATGTATGTATATATGTGTGTGTGTGTGTGTACTGTACGGACTTTCTTAAAAAGTGACGCTAATTACTTTAAGGGGTCGATAAGCATGTGTGTGTGTGTACTCTGATCTGTAAGCCCCATTCTCTGATCTATTATTATTATTACCTCCCTCAAAACTGCATCTTCATTATGGACCTCCCCATCCCAGCGCTATCTATCACAATTCTGCCTTACTCTGCCCCAATCGTGTCCCCCTCTTATTTCCGCAGAGTTCGACCGTGTTCAGGGCTCTGACCTCAGTGACTCAGGCAGTCAGGATCAGGTCCTGTTTTTTTTCCCAGAATTCAATCCGACCGGACACAGTGCGGGCGCTCCCGGAGGCTCTGCAGGACCAATCGGAGACGAGGGGGAGCCAGGCTCTAAGAGGATGAGACGAAACCGTTTCAAATGGGGTCCGGCATCTCAAGAAATACTTTATCAGGCTTATGAACGGCAGAAAAACCCCAGCAAAGAAGAGAGGGAGACGCTGGTGGAGGAATGCAACAGGTAATGCTCTCTCTCTCTCTCTCTCTCTCCTCTGTGTTGCTGTCCATTTCAGTCAAATTACAACTGCATTCACAGACATGCAACTGCAATGTTGATTTATTTAAAAAAAAGTATATATACAGTTATTAATAATATTAGTTTTAGTTTTAGTAAAAATGTGTTTAAAATAAATGCAAATAAATATAGGCTATTTATTTATACTTTAATAAAAAAGTAGTGCTCATCTTTTCTTCAATCATCTTTGTTTTATATAAATATAACTAAGATGATATATATATAACAAAGATGATTGATAAAAAGATGAGCACTACTATGAAATACTATGATGAATATATTTATTTGTATATATATATATATATATATATATATATATAATTCATGTATAATATTATTTTAATATGTTCAATCTATTTTTATGTTTTGCATTTTATTATTTTATTATTATACATACAATATATGTTATCTCTTTTTTACATTACCGACACCACATTTATTTGAATGTTTATAAAATCTATATATAAAGTCTTTTGTTTTTATTTTTGACACATTTTTATATTCTCATGTTTCTCTGACTTTGGTTGGATACTTATTTATTTTATTTATGCTTTAAAACACAGTGGCACTTATGCATTCGTTTTAGGTTTATTAAACATATATTTAATATATCTGTTAAATCAATCATTTTTTTCTTTTTTCTGTTGGACAATATAAGATATACGTTTATTTGAACACATTTGATCTCTTGGAAAGAGCGGTTGGTTATTTGTGGGGATGTTCTCAGGGCAGAGTGTGTGCAGAGGGGTGTGTCGCCCTCTAAAGCTCATGGACTCGGATCTAACCTGGTCACGGAGGTTCGTGTGTATAATTGGTTTGCAAACCGCCGGAAGGAGGAAGCCTTCAGACAGAAGCTGGCGATGGACACATACCCACCCCACAGCATGAACCCCCTGCTGTCACACGTGTCATCACACACCCAGCACCATCACAGTGCCTCCGATTCAAGTAAGTGCATGTAACAATCACACAGAAAACCGAAGCGCAGACTCTGGATACACCTCTCAGATGATCTGATGTCATGCAAACCGGAAAAGTTGGAAGTGTTATTTTTAGGGCTGTCAAACGATTTATCGCGATTAATTGCATACAAAATAAAAGTTTGTGTTTACATATTATATGTGGGTGCACTGTGTATAATTATTTTGTGTGTGTATATATATATAGATATATAAATACACACACATGCATGTATATTTAAGAAAAAAAAATTAATTATATATAAAATATTTATATTTATATATAATATAAATGATGTATAAATCTATACAGTATATACATGAAAATATTTCTTAAATATACACAAGCATGTGTGTGTATTTATATATATTACACAGTGCACCCACATATATTATGTAAACACAAACTTTTATTTGGAAGCGATTAATCATTTGACAGCCCTAGTTATTTTAATATTATTTATATGCTATTATAGTTTTTATGATTTTTTGAATTAGCTTTATATATATTTAGCATTGCCGGACAGCAATTAATGGCATCCAAAATAAAAGTGTGTGTTTACATAATATATGTGTGTGTATAATTATTTTGTATATTCTGTATAAGTACACACATATGCATGTATATTTTTAAGAAAATATTTTATTTATATATAAAATATTTATATCTAATATAAATTATGTATAAATATATATAGAGACCCCCATTCGAGAGCCCCCCCCCCCCCCAAAAAAAAAAAAACAAAAACAACAACAAAAAAACTAACAAAAACAAAACAGCAACAACCCAACAATAAAATCACATACCGTTCATTTGGAAAAACACAGTTAATAGAATCCAGTTATTTTGCTAGTTTAATCTAACTTTAAAGAGAGGAAGTAACCATTAGCGCATTGGCACATTAGCAATTATATGCATGGCACACTTTTTATATATACATGCATATGTGTATATTTATATAAACTAAATAATTATGCACACTACACACATATATTAAGTAAACAAACTTTTATTTTGGATGCAATTATCGCGTTTTTTGTTACAAGCTTTTGTCACTTATTATTTTTCATTAATTTAAAGGTTAAAGATTTTAGTTCAGTTTTTTTTTTTTTTTTTTTTTTTTTTTGCAGTTACTAATTTCAATATTTCATCTTAAACGTAAGACCGCATTTCTTTTTGCTTAAACTTTTTCATATAATATTTTTTTCAATGAACATAAATGTTTTTAATAGTTTTAGTTAAGATAATAGCCCTGCTTTTGTATTTGAGTGTTGTGGCCTGGTTTCACAGACAGGGTTTAGATTAAGCCAGGATTAGGCCTTAGTTAAATTGAAGTAGGACAATTAAGTAGCTTTAAAAAACATGCTTTAGAAAAAAAAAACATAACTAGTGTGCATCTTGTGACAAAACAATGGCACTGACATATTCAAACACAATGTTGCATTATGCCAATGCAAACATGCATTTTAGTCTGGGACTAGACTTATGATGAGTGTTAGTATCAGGTGTAAATAGGGTCACGAAAGCAGTAAGAGTGTGTTTGTTTCATTGGAATTCTTCCGTCCCATTGGTGTGTGAACAAAACACACAGCCACACCCGCAGACACATGTGAGATACAAGGACATAAAATCTTTAGGGTCAAACCAGGGTCAAGTCAAGGTTCGAGCTTTGAGTCTGAGAGGGTGTGTTTTGCTCCCTCAGAAGATCGATAGCATGTTGGAAAAAAAGGTATTTTAAACCCAGAAGGATCATGCAGTGGCTTAAAACGATCACATAATAAAATCCGAATGCTTCAGCTTAACTTTTGGCAACTACAAAAGGGCACTTTTCTGTGTAAAAGCCGTAAACTGTCAGCCTGTGAAATGGACCGAATTCCGCAGAATGTTTACAAACGGATTAATATTACGTCAAGAGAGTGAGTCAGAGGACAGCGTGTTTGCTCAAGCTGTGTGTTCTGCTACAGTCACTGACCTCCAACGGTTCAAAAGCTCTTTGATTGTATTTGTTTGCCCCGGAGCAAGAAAATGCACAACATTTACAATAATCAGTTTTCAGGTGTGTTTACGAGAATGCGTTTAAGGAACAGACGGCCTCATAAAGGCCTTTCGGCGTTTGGACTACAGACTCTTATCATTCGAGCCGCATTTACAGCTACGCAACCGGGTCAGGTAAAGATAGACGGAATCAGGTCAGCATGTGCCGACTGACGGCTTTCTCTTTTTGCCAGTGTGACAACACAACAAACTGCACATTTTTGTCGTCAACAATACTACAGAAGTGTTTCTTGTGTTTTTCGGTGCAGAACTCAGGTACAGTCAACAAGGAACCAGCGAGGTCACTTCCTCCACAACCATAAGTCACCATGGCAGCAGCCAATCAGTATTGCAACAGGTGTCTCCGGGAAGCCTGGACCACTGCCATGGCTTGTTATCGCCGGACGCCAAAATGGTAAAGAAAAAAACGTCACGACTTTGTGCACGCTTTGACAAGTACGGGTCTGGCAGCCCGTGTAGTCGCAGAGATCAATGTACATTTCACAGACATGATTGATAAAGTCGCCTTTATTTGGAAACTGACTCAACTAGGTCAAAGAGAGCATTGATCTAGCATGTGAAGGCAGTGTGTTAAACACAGAAGCCTTTATTCACTTTTATATACCCCCCCCCCCCACCAATAAACATTTGTAATGTTATGTTAGTGAAGGTTTTCACCAGAGGAAAGGAACCACGTCCTTACATGCTAAATGTTTGTGTACCTTATATGTATTGACATTGTGTGTGTGTGTGTCCAGATCTCGGTCTCTGGTGGAGTCTTGCCTCCTGTGAGCACTTTGACCAACATTCATAGTCTGTCTCAGTCGTCTCATCATCATCATCATCATCAGCAAGCACAGAGCCTCATTATGAGCCTGGCCACTCAAAGTGAGTATCGCCATTTTTATTTACTCCTCCTTCATCTTTATATCTCACATTGTAAACTGTACACTGTAAAAATATCCTATTAAATTTACGATAAAAATGGTTGCCAAAAATGAGCTACATTTCAAGTATTTCTGGATGGGATATTGGTGACTGTATATATATTCTTATTTTCCATTGTAATTCTACAATACATAGTTTTTCTGGTAAAAACTCAAATGCAGTATTTGCATATAATTGCTATGTTAAACCATTTACAGTTTTGTTTGTAAGGTAATCTTACAGTTAATAATATAGTTTTACTGTAGTTTTCATTTTTCGTCACACATTTTGACGTTTTGCGGTATTATTAAAACTATTGATGTGATGAAAGGTGGTAATTGGCCTTAAAACGGTTAAAAACTACTAACCTACACTGTCATACTTTTTTTTATCAAATGGAATTTTAAAAATAATTCAAACAGGTTCTCTCAACACTCCCTCCTCTTTCTATTGGTCAGACAAACAGATACCCACGCCCCCAAACTCGTGTCATTGGTTGAGACACTACATTACTGGTAGGGATTCTTAAACAGAGCAATGTTTTAATAGCAGGAGAAACAGCATCTTGCTGATCTAGGTAGATCATAAAAAAAACTTTATAGCTAGCTACCTGAGTGATAACACATAACACATCTAAAGGTCGCTCTATCGCCCTCTTGAGTGCTGGAGTGTCTGACTGCCACAGTAAAGCATTTGAGGCCTTGTTTGCACACTTGCCTAAGCCAGTGAACGGACGACAGCCAATCATAACAGAGTTAATTAACAGGTTCATTTACAAGCCTTGAAGGTACAATAGCAAATCATCCTGTTTAATTCTAAGGATCAGATTCAAATCATCATGTAAAACTAAAATCGGACAGTTCTGGCGCAAAAAGAACATTATAATGGACTTGTATAGGATGTGGCCCCTTTAATTTTTTATATTTTTTAATTGCAACGTAACGTAACACATTTTTACAGAAATATATCATGTCTATATATGTGAAAAGTACTGTGTGTGGGGTCATAAATATCAGTGTTATTTTAGTATAACTGAGACACTATTATAGTTGTATTAATATTTTCAATTAGTTTTTTTATTTTAATATTATTCATTTTTATGTTAGTTTAGTGCTAAAATTGTTGTAATTTAGTTGTGTATTTTTGTATTCCTATATAATCTAGATTTAAAAATATAGCCTATAATGTCTATATATAATTTTTATTTCAGTTTTAGGTTTAGTTTTTTTTTTTTTTTAGTACATCAAGTTAAACTAAATAAAATAAGAAAAAGTTTCATTTTTATTTTTTTTTAATTATTTAATTATTTATTTTTTATTATTTTTGTTAACGTTTATTTTATTTTAAGTAACTAATTTTTTTTATTTTATTGTCTAGTATAAAGGATAATTATTATTTCAGTTCATTTTCAAATCTTTTAGAACAATTTGAAGAACAAGTTCTGTCTTTGACACGGTTTTTACGTTTGGTCAGGTCTGGCATCGCCTCAGTCTCAGAGCGTGCCCGTCATCAACAGTGTGTCTGGCCTGGCCGCCCTGCAGCCGATGCAGTTCCCACAGAACACCAGCCTGACGCAGCTGACCACAGCTCACCTCTCCCAGCCGCCCTTCACACAGTCGCACAGTAATAACCCCTGCTTATTAATGCAGAACGCACTGTGATTCTGAACAACAATGTGCAAAACTCACATTTCGTGTCTTTTTCAGTGTACTCGACCAAACAAGAAGCCGCCCAGTTTTCCCATCCATCTCGATATACGACCATGGACACCAGCACTATCACACACCTGGGCTCCAACAAGCAGGTCAAACTTCAGTTTCTTATACTTTCTATCCACCTTACTCACTTCTAATGTAAGAGCCATTTGTAACTTGAATGTGCAAGTGTTTACTTATTGTATACATAAACACTGGTTTTCAAATAGTTGTACCGTTTATTGCACTTTGTTATTTTTCTAGGCCCTGTTTACACCTAGTATTAAAGGGATAATTCACTTTGAAATTAATTTTTGGTATGTTTTAGCTTACGTCAAGGGCATCCAAGATGTAGGGGTCTTTGTTTCCGCAGTATTTTCAATTTTGATATTTTTAGGTCAAACCGTTCTTGCCTATCAGTCATATAATGGAGGTCTATGGTCACCACCTCAAAGAGCATGCACAGAGAAGTCCAAAATAAACTGCAATATCTCACACAAACCGCTCGTTTTGTGTCTTAGTCCATAAATATGTACTTACATTTACTAGTCATTAAATCATGTTTAATTTGGATGCTCTGTGCATGCTCTTTGAGGTGGTGACCATAGACCTCCATTATATGACTGACAGACAAGAACAGCTTTGTCACGTTGCTCACACTATTGTAATTCACTTGCGCCGCTGTGTTTATGCGCTTGCGCTGTTTTGTCCATCATTTGACGCCATACTCTCTGTATATTTTTGAATCGACTCCGGTCGCATTCATATCTAAATTGCATGAGCTTATTTTGCCCATTAGATCGAATGATCTGTAAAAACACATAGACCCTCGTCTCAAAGAAATCGGGAAAGAACTGGTTAAAAATGGACTAAAGAGACGGATTTAAACACCAGGTGTACACGGATACGTGTCCCTCGTCTACTTGTGAACCGACCAACCAAAACGCATCATTATACCTCGTGTAAACAGGACTAATGAATCTGAACAGAAAGTAACTTAGCTCCGCATTGCAAAATAAGGTGTATACATTTTTTATAAAGTGGTCAATGTTGATATTTCTCTCTCTGTACATAAACAGTGCCTATCTGTATTTGCGGTCCTGATAATCGTTACGTTCTGTTGTCACTGCAGTGTCCATTGCAGGCCTGGTGAACAAACGCAACCGAAGCGAGAACTTCCTCGGCAGCTTAGCAACAGCGGTCCGTGACCTCTGCGTTTCTCAGTTACGCTGGTAACCTATCACCATGGAGAAACAACAGGAGCAGAACTGCCTCTGGATTCAGCAACAAATGAAGAATAATGATTGATATATTGCAGCTTTAAGCCATATGACAGATCAAACTGGATTGAATACTGAGCCAAAGTTTTCACACCCATCGGTTTTAGGGGATGAAATCTTCAATGATACTGTACATACGATTTAATGAGGAAATATGGTTTGTTATTAAATACAAGGTCAAGTTTTCAGGCAAAGCTACAACAACAACAACAGCATAAATAGTCAATCACGGATGAGATTTTGTTTTCCACACGCATGTTTGAGATTTGAAATGTATCTCGTATTCTTAAAGAAAATCATCACATTACTGTGTAAATTCACAACATAAGAGTGGTCTTTCCATTTCAGCGCATGGACTTGCACATAAAAGTGATCCCAAAAGATGCTACAAATATAATTGCTTCTCAGGGATTGATTTCACATTTCACACATTGTAGCTAATATTATGAGAATGTGTATAACTTTGCTATTTTTTATATACGTTTTGGAATCACTTCAATCATATTTATATTTGTGTAAATCGATAAATAATACATTTTTGAAGAATACCTCCTGGCTTTAGTGCTCATTTTTATTAGTTTATGACAATGATGTGTTTTTTGTTTGAGAATTGTTTTGTCAGGGAATGTGCCGTAGCAGAAAGCAGACCACACTTTGCATTTATAATGTGTTCACACACTAATGGAAAGTCAGAGGTGTGAACTGAAGGAGGGGTGGAGACAGGACAGAGATCGGCAATAAAAGGGTGTGTATTTGTTTTCCATGCCCCATTAGGTCTATTTCCCTTGTTGTCTCACTGGTCAAAGGGCATGAAAGTATCATCTGAGTTCACTTTTAGGAAGTGAACAGGTGAAGTCATTTCCTTTCCTCTTCTCACATGACTTCTCTAGCGTGTGATTACAGTTTTCTTCAGTTTTTTTTCCCTAAACTAAATTAATTAAAATAGCACCCACCTTGGAGATCGTTTCTTAATGAAGCAAGTGCATGACTGCAAAAAGTGAACTGTATCAGTGTACCAGAAGAAAACGAGTACTAATAATAGCTACTGAAATTGGCAGTGGTTCTGAGTATTTACAAAGTCCCGTTCAGGTTCAGAAATGAAATATAGGAAATATATAAGAAGAAAAAAAAGAAGAATATATATATATATATATATATATATATATATATATATATCCTGAATAATAGGAAAATATGCAATAAATAAGTAGGCTATGTAATGTGTAAAATATTGAGTCACTTAAAAAAAAGTTTCTTGAGCGGCAAATCGGCATATTAGACTTATTTCTGAAGGATCATACATTAAAATAACAGTAATATATTGTACATTCCCTCATTCAAGTCTAAAAACCACAAAAACATAGCCTATACATTGATATGACTGTCCCTACATGTCAACACAAATATTGCGTCTGAAAAGCACTCGTGTTTTGGCTCATTTGTTACACACTAACAACAATAAATATGTTATTGGTAACACGTTTATTGAAAATAGCTATGCTAAGCTTCTGGGTTGGCCAGAATCAACAGTATTGTAATTGTAGCACATTAGCGATTAGCATAGCTTCTGTAAAATCCAGCGGCAGCAGAGGACACATGCAGGGACGTGGACAATAGAGGACAACGTGGAGGCGTGGAGCGATGAATGTGCAGCAGCAGACGTCCTTCAGAGCAGGTCAGCAGAAGTGATCTTATGTCAGCTACTGCTAGGGTCAAAGGTCAGAAAGACAGGAGACAGAAAAGCTGACTTTTCTCCTGTAACCCTCTGTTCTCTTCCCACACTGCCATAGGTTGTGTTTAAAGAATGTTCCAGATTCAAGACAAGTTACTTTATCAACAGATTACCAAAGAAAAATAATGTTTAAATCATTCCTTCGTTGGTAGAAACAAACGTAGCCTAAAGATAGATAAGGTAAGACATTCTGGGAGGGGTGTAAAAGCTAATATGATGCGTTAATTGTGTCTATGTTGACAAACTGATAGGCTATAGCTAGCTTCTTGTGTTTGTAAATGTATTTTATATGAGCTGTAAGACTTCAATGGTGGTCTATTTCGGGTAATGCATAACCAACATAAGTATTTTTCTCTAAACCGAACATTTCTTTTTTTCTTTTTTTTTTTGCTTCCGTCATGCAAAAGTTACAGACTTCACCTGCTTATAATGGACATCACAGAGGGTCAAATATGATGTTGGCTTGGTGAAATTAGAGAAAGGGCCATTATCCCTTGACCATTCCCACCCCCGTGTCCAACTATCAGGGGTCAGTGTGTGGGCCGAACATCAGCCCACCGTGACCCCATACAGAGATCTTCTTCACTTGTTGACTTAGTTTTTAACATGCTGACTAGGGGTATTGTTCATTCATCAAATGTTTTAAGGTCTTTATAGTATTCCTGTTCTACAATAAAAAAGCTAATGTATACATATACGCTCCGTTCAAAAGTTTTATTTATTTATTTATTTATTTGAAGAAAAATCCAAAGACGAATTGAAATTGATCAAAATTGACAGTAAAGGCATTTATATTGTACATTTCTATGTCAAATGCTGTTCTCTATTCGTCCAAAAATCCAGAAAAAAAACTTTCCATAAAATATTAAGCAGCACAACTGTTTTCAACATTGAAAGTAATAAAAAATGTTTCTTGAGCATCAAATCAGCATATTAGACTGTTTTCTAAAGGATCATGTGACGACTGTTGTTATGATGCTGAAAATTCATCTTTGCATCACAGGAATAAATTGCTTTAAAAAAATAAAATAAATATATATACATGATAATCTACCAAAAGACTACTTGACATAAAATGGATGTATTTAAACTTCTATTTAAAGGGATACTCCACTTTTATTTTATTTTTTAAATTTTTTTGGAAATAGGCTCATTTTACAACTCTCCCAGAGTTAAACAGTTCAGGTTTACCGTTTTCCAATCCATTCAGCCGATTTTCTGATATTTAGAAGAATATCATTGACTATACTATGGAAGTCAATGGGACCAGAAAATGTCTGGTTACTGATATTCTTCTAAATATCAGAAAATCAGCTGAATTGATTAAAAAAATTGTAAAATATAACTGCTAACTCTGAGGGAGTTGTAAAATGAGCCTATTTCCAAAAAAAAAAAAAGAAAAAAAGTGGAGTATCCCTTTAACAAAATGTTAATATTCCAGTGAATTCGCTGAGTCTTTTTGAGAGAAAAAAATAACTGTACTGTACCATACTGTTATAATATCCTCATAAAATTCCAGTCTCTGATTTATGACCCTCTTTGGTCTTTAAAGCCATTTTTAGCTTTTGCCAGAAGATCTTAGTATCTTCTCCAGGTTTGGGCCAGCGGAGGTAAGTTTGTTTCTTCACCAGCTTCCGCATCCTGTGGTACGGAGAGAGCTCATGTGCGGGAATATCCTCCAGGAACACCAGGACCAGCACATCCTTCTGCTCATCGAAGAGCCTGAAGCTCGCCACCTGGACCTCACTTGAACACCAGTTGCTCTTCAGGTAGTTCCTAGTGACCAGGCAGATGGTCTTGCGGCTGCTGTATATGCCATCAACGATGTTGTCTATTATTGGCCTTCCTGGTTCAAAGTCTCGGTGGTGAAGGCACAATCTCCAGCCCTGTTCTCCTTCTAATTTGGGAATGAGTTCCTCCATTACCCAAGGCTCATCTTGGGTGTTGTAGGAAATAAAGGCGTCGTACTGGAACGTTGTACCACTCCGCTTCTTCTTGGTGTCGTAAAGGAAGGCTAAGAGGAGGTAGTAGGCGTAAATCACCTGATAGCGCAGAAACTGCCAGACAAATGAACAGAAGAGGGTGAGGACGACCGCAATACTGCTGCAAAGAAAGCAGATGAAGTCGATTTTCAAGGTGCAGGATTCGGTGTTGAAAGCGGACAAGCTCATGCCCCGTAAGGCACGAGGATAGCTACACATGTACTTGTTGAAATAAAACACCTGAGTAGAATTACTTTTCACGGCCCACTCAATGAAGAACTCGTTGTGGCAGTCGCAAGTGAACGTGTTTCTCTGCAAGTCGAGGACTTCTAGTCGAGGCAGCGACTCAATCAGAGTCTCGTTGATCGTGTCGATCTCATTGCCCGGGGCACTTAAGGTGGAGAGTCGGGACAGATTTGCATTCAACAGGAAGTTCAGTGAGCGAAGCTGCGTTCTTGAAAGGATGAGTTTGGTTAGCCCGGAAATAGGGTGGAAGGTCTCGGCCGGGATGGAGTCGTCTTCAGACAGTGCGTTCTTGGAGAGATCCAAGAACCAGAGCCGAGGGCTGAACTTGAACGTATCAGGATTTAGATGACCAAGATTTGTGTTTCCAGCGTAAAACATTTCCAAGGAGGATAAACCTTGAAGCAGATTTGAGGGTATTACGCCGATCCCACGGCGTTGACTGTTAAGGGTCAAAACCCGGAGTTGCTTCAGCTCCTCAAACGGAGGGTGTGTCAATTTATTATCTTTAAATGAAATGGTGTTGGCGTACAATTCCAGATTTTGGAGGTTGGGCATGCCCGAGAACACGTTCAGGTGTCTGGTTAATGTTTTAGCTGTTATTTTGTTCGATGACAGAAGCAGAGAGGTCAGGTTCTTCAGTTCTTCAAAAGCATGGGCCTCAATCTCTGATATCTGATTGTCTTGTAAGGACAAACTGGTTAATTGTGGCACGTTTCTAAAAGTGTGTTTTTTTATTTTGCTTAGCTTGTTGAAATTAACTTGCAGATCCTTCAGGGAACGCGGCCCATTGCTGAACGCATCGCCGATCCTCAACAGGTTATTTGTTCCGAGCTTTAGGACTTCAAGACTTGTGAGGTCCTTGAACAAGCAGGAATTAATGAGTGAGATTTTGTTACCATACAAGTACAGAGTCTTCACCTTTGTTAAATTGGCAAAGTCGTCACAGGTGAGCTCTCTGATGCTGTTTCTACTGAGATCTAGGAACTCGAGAGTGGAGAGAGCTTGAAAGGAGTTTGTTATTCGAGTCAGTTTGTTGATTTGCAGAAGTAGCTTTTTTAGTTGCGTAAAACTCCTGAACACACTCTGCGACAACGTGGATATTTCGTTTTCTCCTAAATCCAACTCCGTCAGGTTAGAACAGGGATCAAACATGTGGTCGGCGAGATGTTTTATTTTGTTAGCGTTTAGCCGTACAACTCTTAGCGCTGGAGAACATGCGTTCAGCAGAAGCTTGGTCTTGTTGAGCTCCACGTTTCCATTAAGCCTGATTTTATTCAATGAGTTCCTGAAGCTCGGAAGCACGTCAGCGACACTCTGGGGTGACATATGAACACCCATGAAGTATAATGTTTGCACTGAGGACAAAAATGTATTTTCTGTAACATTCCATGTCATGGTGCCATTTTGACCGCAATAGGATAGATCAAGGTGAGCGAGGGATGGAAATATATTGTCAGTGAGCTGAAATGTTGCCAAAGGGTTGTTGGACAAATCCAACCTTTTTAACGACAAGGGCTTTGTTGCTATCTCATACGAGTTGAAAACAGTAAAATTGTTGCTTCCGATGTAGAGTTCCTCCAAACACGGT